CTCCTCATGTTATCTCCCTTTTTTCCTGGGTTCCTCTTGTCTTTCTCCTCGGCCTTGCTTCCCTTTACCCAGTTTTGCGTTGTGTCCACGGCCGCGCGCCCGATGTCAAACGCGATGTCGCCTTCTGCGCCCTGATCGACAGTTTGTTCACGCGCGCTCGCAATTTAGTGTTCGGACTGCTCTCGGTCGTGCGTCTCCCGAGCACGTCTTCGAGGGCCGTTTACGTATTCTGACGCAGAGGCATCCAGCGATGCGGGTTGCAGTTCAGTAGCCCCGCAATCCTGACGGTTAGTTGCCTGTTGTTTTAGTGGGTTTTGTTTCGAAAATCGTTTGTGTGGTCCGCCTCCGGGAATTCCTGCCTGCTCGGTCCGCGGTCCGTCCTTGTTTCCTGGGGTTCCTCCTCCGTCGGTCCCCGGGTGTTTTGGCCGCCGCCGCTTGCTCTCTTTGGGGCTCTCGGCGCTGCTCTCTCGTGGAGTTGCAGTTCGATGGGGTCCGCGCCGCCCGCCGCCCACCCTGTTCTCTTGCTTGATACTGTCGGACTGTCGAATCCAGTTTAATCGCGGCCTGGGCCTGAAGACGACGCGCGCGATCGAGGTGACTCGGTCGCTGCCGCCCCGTTCGGCTCGTGAGCCCGCGCGCGAGGTCGGGGCAACTTCGAGGCTCCGGCTTGCTCCCCCACCGTCGCTTGCTGTTCCAGCTCGTGCTGGGGTCCCGGCGACGGCTAGCTCAGCGCTGGCCGATCACGCGATCGGCCGCCTCTCCCCTCTTTCTCCCTGCCCTGCCCGCTTCTTCCCGTGCGCTTCCTTCGGGGCGGTTCGCGGGCGTGCGCCGCCCGCGCTTACCTGTTCTTGATGTGTTCGATTGCTGTGCTGTCGCTGCCGTTTTTGTGTACATTCGTAGATGCGCCTCCCAAGGGAACACATCATCATCATCATCATCATCATCATCATCATCATCATCATCATCATCATCATCATCATCATCATCATCATCATCAGCATCATCAGCATCATCATCATCATCATCAGCATCAGCATCAGCATCAGCATCATCATCATCATCAACATCATCATCATGATACTCATCTATTGCATCATTCTCATCATCGCCGTCACCATCATCATCCGTGCCGCCGTGGTCATCGCCATCGCCGTCATCATCACCATCTATAGTTTCGTCCTGGTCGTCGCTATCGTCGCCATAATCATCAGCATCATGATCACCATCATCATGCGCAAACCCATCGTAATCCTCAGCAATTCCATCAGATTCACGATTATCATCATCATCATCATCATCATCATCATCATCATCATCATTGCTGTTAGCGTCGTCACCTTCGTTATCATCATTGTTGTCATCAACCTCATTTTCGCCATTATCATCGTCGTCGTCACCGTCGTCATCGCAATCGTCATCATCGGGCTCCTCATCTCCATCGGTCTCGGCAGCGTCGGTTCAATCGTTGTCGTCACCATCATCACCATCATCATCATTATCACCGTCATTGTCATCATCATCATCATCATCATCATCATCATCATCATCATCATCATCATCATCATCATCATCATCATCATCCACATCGTCTTCGTCATCATCATCAGTAGAACCAGCGTGTGCAGGTCAGTGCCACCATCACCGCCGTCATCGTCATCGTCACCCCCATCCTCATCATTCTCCCTATCCCGCATCATCACCATCTTCCTCTTTTGTCGTCGTCATCGTCATCACCGTCAACATCGGCATTACAAGGAGGCCACCAAGAGCTTCGAACCCTGAACTCCGGAGTTTACGGAGTCTCCCCTCTGGATTCCAGTGGAATCGGAAGAGGAGATTCCCTTAACTCCACAGCTTCGGGATTGAACCTCTGGATTCCAGTGTTTTTCGAGGGCCAGGGGGAGAAGGGAGGAGGAGGGGGTGGAGGGAAGAGGAGGAGGAGGAGGAGGAGGAGGAGGAGGAAGAGGCGGAGGAGGAGGAGGAGGAGGAGGAGGAGGGCGGAGGCAGAGGAGGAGGCGGAAGAGGAGGGGGAGGCAGAGGCGGAGGCGGAGGAGGAGGAGGAGGCGGAGCAGGAGGCGGTGGAGGAGGAGGAGGCGGAGGAGGAGGAGGAGGCGGAGGTGGAGGAGGAGGAGGAGGAGGAGGAGGAGGAGGAGCGACCTCCAAGCGCCTCCCTGTGACCTCACCGGATCTTGCGCGACCTCGCCGACCCGTGCCAGCGGCCCCTCTGCGGCGCGCGGCCCCGGTGCAGGGCCCGCCGGCCGACGGGGCAAGCGCTGCCGAGGGCTCGCCGGAGAACTGGTCCGTGCCGCCGCCCGCTGCTCCCGGAGGCGACAAGAAGTCGGGGGCAACGACAGGGAGGGATGGGCATATGGGGGGGATGCATCGACCCCCCATCGCCCACTGGTCGAGGATGGGAGCCTGAGAGCCCCAGCCTGAGAGCCCCAGCCTGCACAGGAAGGTGTGGATTCACCATCGGGGGCCCATCGCCGATCTGTCGGCGATGTGCTTCGCCGATTCCACGTCGGTGCATCCCCTCCTAGGCCAGTCCCCCCCTATCGTTGCCCCTCAAGAAGGGCGAGCAGCCCAGGGGCGGGCGAGTAGCATAGGTCAAGCCTGGGGGTCTTCAGAGCCAGGATCAAGATACACAAGAGCCCTCTGCAGGTCCATCCGATATCGAGCCTTGCTGGCACGTTGATCGAAGCCATTGGCAAGTACCTCGTGCAGCAGTTGGGTGAATGCCAGGCAATCGCAAACATGGATCAAGGGGGGCGTGGATTAGCGACGGGCTCCGTTTCCATGGGAAGTCGCGGATTTCCGCCGCCGAGCAAGGCGGCACCGGCCGCATTTTGGGGAGGGCACCTCCCCCGATCCATGGATTTGGCGACCGCGCGCCAAATCCATGGATCGCTAAGCCATGTTTGCGCGCACCCGGTCGGAGGCGACGAGAAGGGCGAGCAGCCCAGGGGCGGGCATTGCACGCATCCCTCCAGGAGCCTCGCCGAGGGCTTTGCCCGTCGGCGCCCCTGGATACATGCACGGCATGCCAAGAAACACCTTGCTTGCCTCCAGGGTGCCCTGTGTTTCTTGGGTTTCGAGGGTTTTGCTGTGGAAGGCGCGACGTTCCCACGCCAAGAGTCACTGGACGTCCTGGGGTGTCAGGGTTGGGCATCTCGTGGGTGGTTTCTTGTGGACGGGCCTTCGCCGTATTGCTCCCCACTGGCTGGCGGTCGTCTGTCTCTGTCTGGGCCTTCGGGAGGCCATCGCCACCGGAGGAGGCCTTTCGCCGATCCATCTGCGCCTCGTCGCGGGTTCCAGGTCGATGCTTCCTCGCCTCGGGAGCTCCCCGGGGCATGTTGGGGCTTGCCAGAGGGGCTCGGGGCCTCGTGGTGGCCTCCCTCTTGAGGGCCCTCCAGGAGCTTCCTGGGGGGGCCTCCCAGGGGCTTCTTGGGGCCGAGAGCTGTTCGTTCGGGCTCCCTGCCTGGCCCCCCTCTTGGAGCCGTCTCGGTCCGAGTTTGCTCAGGACGGCCTTCTCCAGCCCCCCTCCTACCCCTGCCCCTGCCCCTCCTCGTTCCTTGATCCGCCTCCATCCCTCCCCCAACCTCCCTCCCCCCCCCACTCGCGCCACTCCCCCCTCCCCCCCCCCCCCCCCTCCCCCAACCCTTTCTCGCTCCACGGTCCCCCCACCCTCCTCGGTCCTACTCGCTCCCCCCTACTCGCTCCCCCCCCACTCCCTCCTCCCTCCCTTCATCCACAAACATCCTGGGGCTTCCCACGTGGCCCCAGGGGGGCGGCCGCGCGCCTCCCCGCACGATGTGCTGGGGGCCGAGCGGGGCCCCAAGACGGGCAAGGGACCCCCCGAGAGGCCCCCACGGCGGTCCGACGCGCCCAGGATGGCCCCAAGAGCCCCGCGAGCCCCAAGAGCCCCGAGAGGCCCCCAAAGGCGGGCCCAAGAGACGGCCCCCAGTCGCCAAGCGATCGCTCCCAGCGCGCCCAGGATGGCCGCTCCAGTCGGCCGAGAGCGCGCCCAGGACGCGCCAGGAGGCCTCCGAGAGCCCTTTTCACCAGGCCAAATTCATGGATGTTCCACAGGTTTTTGAAAGAGGTTGGCGTCTCGCCTGGTCGGCTTTCCGACGGCCCACGAGGGCCCCGTGACGGCCCAAGGCGGCCCAAGGGGCATCTGGCGTGGTCTTTGAGGCCGTCTTGGCTATCTGAGGCCCTCCCGGAACCGTTGGGGCCAGAAAGCTGTGATGCATCGCGGGCCCCCTCCTGTCAAGACCCATGGGATGAGTTGGAGAGGGCCTTCCTTCCCCGAGGTGGAAGAAGAGGGCCGGAAGAGGTGACTCCCTGAACTACCCAGGCCCAAGCAGCCAGAGAACACAAAAGGGTTGGGTCGCACAAGCCCATCGGGCTTCGAGGAGCCTAGGCCACAGCAGGCCCCAGCGAGCCGTGCAAACAAACACTCGGCCGAACTAGAAACAGCTCGCGTGTTCAAGTTTCTCTTTTGTCAGCTGCCGACTCGTTGTGGGGGTGATCTTCCCGTTGTTGGAGTCATGGCTGCGGCTCAGGGGGCCGTGCCAGCAGTGCAGACCAGCAAAGCTTGAAAAAGGCGAGCCACAGCTTGTTCGGCGAACCGTGGAAGGAATTTGCACTTCAAGGGTGAGGAATATTGCACTTCAAGGGTACCACTTTGCATGGGGACGCCGTGACCCTCTCAGTCACTGCCATCTGCGTGGGCCCCGCGAAGCCAGGTCTGCGCTGTTCAAGTTTCTCTACAACGAGCAGCATCCAGATGCGGGAGCTTTTGGGATCGGAGGTGCGTTCCTGCCAGGAGGCAGCCCCGCGGGAGACAGGGCTAGGAGGGAGCAGGTGGGAGAGCCATCGTAGAACGATGGTGATGATGGCAAGAGCGTGTTCTACCGCTGCTGGCGGAACACCGGGGGGGGGTCACTACTGGTTCGAACCCCTCCCCCCCCCCCCCCTCCGGAAAACCGGGGGAGGTCACTACCGGTTCGAACCCCTCCCCCCCCCCCCAGTTCATCATGAAAAGGGGGGGGTCACTACCGGTTCGACCCCCCCCCCCCTCGAAAACCGAGTGGGGGTGCGGACAGTGGTGGGGACGGTGTTGGTGGGGACGGTGTTGGTGGGGACAGTGGTGAGGGGACAGCGGGACAGTGGTGGGGACAGTGGGACAGTGGGACAGTGGTGGGGACAGTAGTGGTGGGGACAGTGGTGGGGACTATGGTTGGGATCTGGCGGGGACAGTGGACCAGTGGTGGGTGGTGTGGGACGGTGGTGGTGGGACAGTGGTGTGGAAACAGTGGGAATGAGGTTGAATACGTGGGACAGGTTGTATAGGGTTATAATGGTTGTGGGGCAGTGGTGCAAGGCGGTGGCTGGGACGGCGGTGGACATGGGGTCTAGGTACAGTGGGTCAGGTGATATGCCGTTATTTAGTGATTGTTTTTAGGGTACAGTGGGGACAGGTGGTGGGACCAGTGGTACAGCTCAGTGGGACAGCGCTGGAGTCGTGGGACCGTGGGACAGTGGGGGATAGTAGGTTAGTGGTTGGGGCCGTGGGGACAGTGGGGAGAGGGAACCGTGGTGGGAACAGTGGTGGGGACAGTTGGGACAGTGCGACAGTGGTGGGGGCACTGGTGGGGACAGTAGGGACGGTGGTGGAACCAGTGGGGACAGTGGTGGTGAGGACAGTGGTGCTGGGAACAACAGTGGGGGATGTGATGCGGACGGTGGTAGGGACCAGGAGTCGTTTGCTGGCGGTGCGTGGGGGTGGTGTGGGAGGGGTTCGAACGGTAGTGATCCCCCTCGGTTTCGAGGAGGGGGTGTGGGGGGGGGGGTTCGAACCGGTAGTGACCCCCCTGGGGTTCTGGATCCTGGGGGGGGGGGGGGGGGGTTCGAAACCGGTAGTGACCCTCCCCCCCCGTTTTCGAGGGTGGAGGGGGTGCGGGGGGGCGGGGTTTGGGGATTGGGGGGTTTGGGGGGGGGCCCAGTGGGTTTTGCCAGGGGAGGGGGGGGGAGGGTTTAGCGGGGGGGGGATTTTCGGAGGGGGGGGGGCGACCCCCCGGTTCCGGAGGAAAAGGTGGGCAATTTTCAACAGTAAGGCGGCGGTGGATCACGCTCTCTCTGATGATGAGAACGCATGTGAGGATGAGGATGTGGATCGGGATGGTGCTGCTGCTGCTGCTGCTGCTGCTGCTGCTGCTGCTGCTACTTGTGTCGACGATGACGATGATGATGATGACGACGATGATGATGATGATGATGATGATGATGATGATGATGATGATGATGATGATGATGATGATGATGATGATGATGATGATGATGATGATGATGATGATGATGATGATGATGATGATGATGATGATGATGATGATGATGTGATGGTGATGGTGTGGTGTGGTGGTGGTGGTGGTGGTGGTGTGATGGATGATGATGATGATGCTGATGCTGATGCTGATGCTGATGCTGATGCTGATGCTGATGCTGATGCTGATGCTGATGCTGATGCTGATGCTGATGCTGATGCTTATTATTATCATGATGGTAGGTAGCTGAGGTGTGCCGCCGATTCGGTGGCCGGGCCCGGGTGCCCGGGTGCCCGGGTGCCCGGGTTCGCCGCCGATTCGGTGGCCGGGCCCGGGTGCCCGGATGCCCGGGTGCCCGGGTGCCCGGGTGACGGGTGCCCAGTGCCCGGGTGCCCGGGTGACGGGTGCCCAGTGCCCGGGTGGGTGCCCGGGTGCGGGGTGCCGGCTGCCCGGGTGCCCGGTGCCTGGGTTTTTCTCTGGTATCATATTCATAGTGTTCGATTGTGGAGGAGAAGGGGGGAGATAGTACGAAGAGGAGGAGGAGGAGGAGGAGGAGGAGGAGGAGGAGGAGGATAAAGAAGAGGAGGAGGAGGAGGAGGAGAAGGAGGAGAATGAGGAGGAGGAGGAGGAGGAGGATGAGGAGGAGGAGGAGCAGGAGGATGAGGGGGAGGGGGAGGAGGAGGAGGAGGAGGAGGAGGAGGAGGAGGAGGAGGAGGAGGAGGAGGAGGAGGAGGATCAGGAGGAGGCGGAGGAGGAGGAGGAGGAGGAGGGTTTCTGGGAAGGCAGGCCGAGCAAGGGCAAAGGAAACCCGTGGCCCCCCCCCCCCCCTCGGCCACGCACAGAGGGGGGGTAATTAGGGGAAGGGAGAGGAAGTCTTCTTAGAAACACCTCTGCCTGTAAGAAGGCGGGCCTTGTCTGTAAATGTAGGGAGCGCGCCTTCTAAGAAGCAGCCTCGTTCTAACTAGCCCTCCCCCCTCCCCCTACCCCGTTCTGCGCGCCGCCAAAAACAACTGCTCCGTCGTGATTGTTTCATGACCCAGGGGGGAATTCCGGGAAGGCAGGCAGAGCAAAGGCAATGGAAACCCGTGGCCCCCCCCGCCAACCTGCGTGGTCAAATGCAGTCATCAGCGGGACGCCGTAGCAAGAAGAGGTTACGACGAGTTGTTGCTATTCTTCGTGTCATTCTCTTGCGTGCCCCACGTGGTTGAGAAGGAGGTTGGCTGTTGGCCCGCCCGCAGAGACTGCGCGCAAATGCGGCATCGCGGAGTCGCAATTGTGTGCAGGCGGCGCCGCAGGGCGCGGTCCGACCAGACCGCATGTACGCCTTGGCGCCCCAGCGGAGCCTTTGAATGCCACGCCCAAGGTTTTGGACGCCCGAAATGGGTACGGAAAGAATGGGTACAATGCCCAACAGCAGTTCCTGTTCATTCTGAACAGGATTCGCTGTCGGTGTCGCCGCGGCCTGTGTCCATTTGAGACAGAAGGCCGCCTGCCCGACAGCGGCCGCTGTTGGTTTGGGGCAACGTTTGTTGTTGGGCATCGTACCCATCCTTTCCGTGCCCATCTCGGGCGTCCGAAAAGGTGGCCGGGGGGCGGGGGGAAAGAGCACGAAGGAGTTCCCTCCTTCCCATCTGTCCTCTCCCCAGTCGCTCCTGCCCCGCGCGCGCGCGTCGTCGGCGTGTCCCGGCGGCCGCCGAGCTCTCGGTCTTCGAGCCAGTGAACTCGGGTCTCCGGCGCCCTCCTCCGGGCACTCTGGGCCCCCCCCCCCCGGGAGACTGCTCGCGACGAGGCGCAGCTGCTGGAGTGCACCCCGAGGCGAGAAAGCTTCCTGGAGTCGGTATCGTTTCACCGATCCCCATCCCCATCCCCATCCCCTTCCAGACCCCCACCCAAAGAGCCACCCCGGTTGGGGATACCCCCCCCCCCCGAGGCCCGAAGGGAACGGCCTATCTATCCCCGTCTAAGGGGGGTAAGTCGGCCAGTGGGGCCCAGGCCACGCCGCATGGGGATCGGTTGAACGATACTCGTGGAAGCGACGAGAACGTTCGGGCACGTCCGAGAAGGCGCCGAAGACGCCGAGAGCTCGTCCGACATCCCGGGGGGCAGCGTCGAAGATCAGCCGCAGCCTCGCCGGCAATCAGTCGTCGGACACGCGCCGAGAGAGCTCGTCGAGGACGCTGGGCGACACTGCCGAGAGCGTCGAGCAGTCGTCGGAGATCAGCCGCAGACGCGTCGGCAGTCGTCGGACACGCGCCGAGAACTCGTCGAGAGCGCTGGGCGACACTGCCGAGAGCGTCGGACAGTCGTCGGAGATCAGCCGACGACTCGTCGGCAGTCGTCGAAGACGCGCCGGAAACTCGTCGGGGACGCGGGGCGACACTGCCGAGAGCGTCGAGCAGTCGTCGGAGATATGGCAACATCGGCCCAGCAGTCCGCGCGGATTTCTTGGATCTGCGCTGGAGCCCCCTGGCGGCGCCCCCCCCCCCCCAGCGCGTTCTGCTCTGCTGGGCGAAAAACAGATTTTGATGCCAGCGCAGAGCCGAGAGATCCGCGCGGACCGTTGGAAGTCTATGTCTATGCCGTCTTCTGCTTCTTCGAATCTCGATATCCGCAGATCTCCGACGAGAGTTTCACGCTTCTGGGCATTATTTCTACGTTCTTTCGGCGTTCTCGGCGAGTTCTCTCGGCGTTGTCGACGCTTGCCATTTTTGTTGGCCATCCAGACCCAGACATTTGGCTGCTCCGATTGTTTCGATGCTTGCGCTCCGAGGGTCTGGACTACTTCCCCAGGGACGGCTGTTCGTCCTGAGTCGTCTTCTGACGGTCCTGGGGCCCGGCGAGGGCCCCTGGAGGCCGAAGACGGCCCCAAACCCGCCGCCCCCATTACCTTTTCGAAAAAGAAAAACGCCGTAAACATACACTTTTGGCGCTCCGTGCGGATTTCTTGGATCCGCGCTGGGCCCCCTGGCGCGCTCCGCGCTCCGGGGAGGGGGAGGGTCCAGCGCAGGTCCATGAAATCCGCGTGGAGCGCCAAAAGTTTATGTTTATGCCGTTGTTTCTCCTTCTAGGGATTGCGAAATAGTCGCACGATGTCGGGGACCTCGCCCCAGGATGAGATCTTTCTGAAGATCTCGTCCTGGGGCGAGCCGTTCCCTGACAGCCCGGGGGCTCCTTGGCAGCATCCCGAGCCGTTCCCTGACAGCCCTGGGGGCTCCCTGACAGCCCCGGGGCTCCCAGGGCGATGTCTTCATGAAGCCTCCCGAGCCGTGCCCCGACCGCCTGGGGGCCCGTGGAGGGCCCCGGGGAAGCCAAGAGCGGCGAAGGACCTCCGGACCCGTTCCCCTCGGGGCCCGCCTCCCCCCTTAATTACGGCGACCCTCGGGGCGCTGCGCAGAGGTCACGCGGCGTCGGAGAGATCTCGGATCTCCGACGTCGGACCGCCGCGCATGCGGCGCAGGTCCCTCTCCGACTCATGGGGCCTCAGATCTCAGACCTCCGGTTCCAGTACAGTCGGGTTGCTGAAGAAGGAGCCCTTTTCGTTGGGGAGGGGCTCCGTGTTCCTTAGGTGCTTCACAGCTTGCCTCAGGTTTTCCTTCTGTTTTCGACGGGAAATCGACGTGTGACCCATGGACAGAGGGGGCCTCGCTCCATGTTCAGGGTTCCTTGGGTCAACGCCCCGACTGTAGCCTCGAGCTCTTCACGTCGGGGGCGGGGGGCGTTTTTCTCGCGCGCTCCGTTTGGGGCGTCGGCCCCTCCGGGGCCCCGCCGCCGCGCTGCCGCGCAGCCGCTCGCCGCGCCGGGGCCTGCGCGGCAGCGGCCGCGCGCCGGCGGGGCCCCGCAGGCCGCCCCCGGCCGGCCTCGCGAGCGCGCGGCCCGCCCGCCCGCCCCGCGGCGGAGGCCCGCAGCCGCTCGCGGACGGCGGCGTGCCCGTGCCCCTGCCGGTGGACATGTCGGCGCAGCCCCCGATGCAGACCCTGCGGGTGTGAGCCCCCGAGGGGGCCGCGGCGCGGGCGGGCGGGCGGGCCCTCCGTCCGTCCCTCCTCCCCCCCTCCTCCTCCTCTCTCCTCCTCCTCCTCCTCTCCTCCTCCTCCTCCTCCTGCTCCTCTTCCTCCTGATCCTGATCCTCCTCCTGATCCTCTCCTCTCCTCCTCTCCTCCTCCTGATCCTCCTCCATCCTCCTCCTCCTCCTGATCCTCCTCCGCCTCCTCCTGATCCTCCTCCTCCTCTCTCCTGATCCTCCTCCTCCTCTCCTCCTCCTCCTCTCGTCATCATCATCATCATCATCATCATCATCATCATCATCATCATCATCATCATCAGATCATCATCATCATCATCATCATCATCATCATCATCATCATCATCATCATCATTATCATTATCATTATCATTATCATTATCATCATCATCATCATCATCATCATCATCATCATTACCATTATTAGCATTCTTATCATTATTATTATTGTCATTACTACTATTATTATTTGTATGATTCGTATTATTATTAATCTTATTAGTGTCATTTCTATTATTATTATGATTACCTTCATCATAATTATCCGTATTATCATTAGTATTATGATTGATCTTAGTATTGCTATCATGATTATGATTATGAGTATGATGATGATTATTATTATGTGTATTCGTACTATTACCTTTATATTATCAGTAGTATTGGTATTCGTATTAGTATTCGGATTATGATGATGCTGCTGATGATGATGATGCTGATGCTGATCCTCCTCCTGATCCTCCTCCTCCTGATCCTCCTCCTGATCCTCCTCCTCCTCCTGCTGATCCTCCTCCTGATCATCCTCCTGATCCTCCTCCTGATCCTCCTCCTGATCCTCCTCCTCCACCTCCTCATCATCATCATTATAATTATTATTACCATTATTATTGCCATTATTACCAATGTTATTATTATGAGTATTATTCGGATTAGTATTGATCTTATCATTGTTATCAGGATTTTGATTATGATAATGAGTATCATTATTATCTGCACTAGCATTTTTTCCTCAGTATTAGTAGTACTGTTCGTATTAGTATTAGTATTATGATTATGATGATGGTGATGCTTATGATGACGATGATGCTGATGCAGATGCGTATTAGTATCAGTATTCATACGATCAGTTTTCTCATCAGTATTACTTGTACATTATAAGAGATCGCATTGTAGGTTATGCATATGTTTACCATAAATGTTAATGTTAGTTTAGTGTAGTTGTGATTGATATTGCGATTATGAGTTTTATCGTAATAATAAGTATCATTACAAGTATTATTATCACCTTTCTTATCATCACCACCACCATCATCAGCATCATCACCATCACCATCAGCCTCCCCCACCTCCTCCTGCGCCTCCTCCTCCTCCTCCTCCTCCTGATCCTCCTCCTCCTCCTCCTTCTGCGCCCCTGCTCCTCCTTATCATCATCATCATCATCCTCATCATCATCATCATCATCATCATCATCATCATCAGCATCAATCTTATCAGTAGCATTATCATTATCATCACCGTCACCATCATCTTCATCATCACCATCATCATCATCAGCAGCATCATCATCAGCCTCCTCCTCCTCCTCCTCCTTCTCCTCCTCCTGCGCCCCATCCTCCTCCTCCTCCTCCTCCTCTTCCTCCTCCTCCTCCTCCTGCCCCTCCTCCTCCTCCTGCTCCTCCTCCTCCTCCTCCTCCTCCTGATCCTCCTCCTCCTCCTCCATCCTCCTCCTCCTCCTGTGCCCCCTCCTCCTGGCGGCCGACCCGTGTTCGCACGCGCTGCCTGGAGCACAATGGTCGGGAGCCAGTCGACACCGCCGCCTTCCCTCTCAGAGAGCGCGGCACCCCCGGGGGTGGCCGGCTGTCTCAGACAGCGGCCACTCCCAGGGAGAAGGGGTCGATTGGCCAGGGCCTATAGAGTCCGTTGCGCGGGAACGTGGCCAGCTCCGCAAGGACCCGGTAGCCCACGGCGGCCTCGCCGGGCAGTCGCGCGGCGCCCGCCGCCCGGCCGCCCCGCTCGCTGGCTGCGCTGGGCGCGCGCGGCCCGGCCAGCGCCGCCTGCCCAGCGCTGCAGGAGGAGGGCCGCCCAGCGCGCAACCCAGCTCTGCGGCGCGCTGCCCGCGGTCGCTGGCTGCGCCCGCGTCCGGCGGCCGAGCCTGGGCCGCTCAGCCCGGCGAGGGCCGCGCCGCCGAGGCCTCAGCGCTCAGTCTGGCGCGTCACTCGGGCGGGCCGGGGCCGCCAGGGCCCGCCAGTCGCCGCGCCGCGCTAGCGGGCAGGGTGGCCGCGCGGTAGGCCTCCGCGCTGCCGCGCTGCCGCGCTGCAGCGCGGCGGCCAGGCTCTGCCGCGCCGCCGGCAGCGTCGCCAGGTCGCCCACCGCAGCTCCTCAGCAGCGCCTGCGCCTCCTTCCCAGCGCGCGCCAGCGCTTCCGCGGCAAAGGCGACCAGGAAAGGGCCCGGGTAGCGCCAGTGCTTGCGGGTCTCCGCCGCTGCCTCCCTCCCTCCCTCCATCTCCTCCTTCCTCGTCCCCTCCCTGCCTCCCCTCATGTTCCTCCCCTCCCTCCCATTTCCTCCCTCCCTCCTCCCTCCTCCCTCCTCCTCCCTCCTCCTCCTCCTCCTCCTCCTCCTCCTCCTCCTCCTGATCCTCCTCCTCCTCCTCCTCCTCCTTGGTCTCGTGCACGGGCTGTTGTGCGGAAGACGTAAAGGCCGCGACTCAAAAGATCTTCGCTTGCTTCTGGAAGAACAGCCGCTTCTTGACCAACAGCTGCATCCCAATCCGAAAAAAGGCTACAAAAGCTCAGCGATGTTGCTGGAGGCATCATCAGAGCCAGGGCTGCATCGTGGCCCCCCTGCCAGGCAACGGAGACTTTTTTTGGACAGAAGGCAGTCGAAGTTTTTAGCGTGGATGCTCCAGCTTTGCTGTAAGCCGAACGAAACTGCACAGCAGTTTTGCCTGCGCAGAAACCGCGCGGTCAAACAGCTGGCGGCCACGAAATGGTCGAAGTTTCATTTGTACTCGTGTTTGTCCTGGCATTCACACCTCCAGAGGCAGACAGACAGCTGGGCAGCCAGAGCGTGTAGCGAGCAGGACCACGACTGGGTCAGCTCACAAAGGCGCGTGTGGGTGTCGGCATCTGGCAGGTCCACTAAAACTTTTTCCAGAAGGCCGGGGCAAGGTCCACCGCTGGGACCAATCGGGCTGGACTTCCTGGTTTAACCCGGCGGGGGCGCGGGACCCCCAAATCATCTGGAATCTAGCGGACGAACTTTCGCGCAGTCTCGGCTGCAGAGGCAGACTTGGAGAGGCTTGCCCCTGAGAGCTTGTGATACCGGGGAGTCTCCGCCTCCAACGGGCGTGTCCTCCTCCTCCTCCTCCTCCTCCGTCCTCCTCCTCCTCCTCCTCCTCCTGATCCTCCTCGTCGTCCTCGTCCTCTTCCTCCTCCTCCGTCCTCGTCCTCCTCCTCCTCCGTCCTCCTCCTCCTCCTTCTCCTCCTCCCCCTCCTCCTTCTCCCCCTCCTCCTCCTCCTCCTCCTCTTCCTCCGTAGCCATTTTGGTTCAAGATGTTTGCGCGAGAGTGCTTCCGCGCCCTCGTGCCTGAACGGGATAGCTCTGTTTCCCGAGCTCGCTTTCCATCATCTTTCGAGCCCTGGTCCGCCCCAGGAGCTCACGTGCGGACCTCCATCAGCTTCGCACCGCGCCCCACCACGGCCCTGGGAAGGGCATTCCTCTTTGCACTCTGTGTTCTTGTGCAGCCATGGGCGTATCACGAGGACAGCAAGAACGTATGGCTTGGGCAAAGCCGTGGCTCTGCCGATGGTGCGTCAACAGCAAAGGCGAACGCTGGTGGAACAACGCATCTGCCAAGTTCTGTCGTGGAGAATGCGGTTGCAGCAAGGACATCGCTTTCTATGGCCTCAAGCCCCAGCTGGCTCCGTCTTCTTCGGCCTCAGCGAAGGCTAAGGCGGCCAAGGGCAAAGGCAAAGGAAGCGATCGTGATCAGGATGCGTACAACAAGTCAAAGCGTGAGAAGACTCTGGAGAAGCAGGTTTCTGAACGTCGTGAGCAGCTCACGAAGGAGAAGGACGGGGCCACGGACGTGGACACTCCCCCAACTAATGACAAGGAGCAGAGTCGATACAAGAGCGAGTTGGCCGTCGCTGAGTCCATGCTCAAGGCGCTGCCGAAGGATGCGGACACTGAGTTTGCACAACAGCAGCGCCTACATCTTGAGAGGCATCGGGATGCGTGCAAGGTCAAGCTGCGCGAGGCACAGCCTTTCGAGTGAAGGGCCCACGACGCGGTCAACCAGAAGAAGCAGCTGCTCGAGAAGAAGCAGCGCGTGGAGAAGGCGGTCGAATTGGCCAAGGAAGCGGTGGTCAAGTCGCAGACAGCCGTCGACCAAGCAGAGGAGGAGCTGCAGGATGTGCTTGAGCAGCTGGTGGCCAAGGAGGCTGAGGTCCAATGTATTTTTGGATCGCTGCCGACGGCGCCAGCTGAGCGCAAGCTCGAATCGCAGATCGAGAGTGTCGGCATTTCGGTGCAAGGACTGGGCGACTTGTTCAAGGCCCGTGGTCTCGATGCAGTGGCAGCGGACAACCTCGCGGCATCGCTCAAGATCGTCATGGACCAGCTGCGGGCGGCAGAGGTGGCACGCAGGCCACCCCCAGCGGCACCCGCGCAGGAGCCCGCTCAGCCCGACCAACCAGGGGATGCTCAGGACGATGCGCAGCAGGGCGATCGTGCTCATCTTCAGTCTGTACCTCCTACTGGTGACGAGGAGCCTGACAAGCTTCGTGAGTTCCTCCAAGCTCTGGGGTTGGAAGTCCCAGACAGCGCAGACCCATGGCGGGCAGCGGTCAAACGTACTTCGGCAGGTCTCCAGAGTCTGGCGAAGAAGGCCCGCTCTGAGGCGTAGGTCGCATTTGCAGTGTATGTGTGCTGTTATTCACATTACCATGGCGAATGCTACATCCATCGAGACTCTGAATTGCACGTCATTCAGGCAGTTGGCTAGTTATCTTCCACGCTGTCAAACTCAGGTGTTTTGTATGCAGGAACATCCTATTAC